CAAAAAGAAACGTTTCTTTAAACGTTTTTCGAGTGGACATTTTAACCACTCGGAAACGTTTTCAAGAGTCGGTTATGAAACGTTTCTGAAACGAATACGTGCTACCCGGAGCGCGTACACGCTTCCTACGTCTGAGACTGAAACCGATACCGCGCTAGGCGGTATTAATAATCAAATTCGCTTCTTTTTCCCCGTATACTTCGGATTTACGATTACCTACTTCTCGAGTATTTCCGCGTCTACAATCATTTGTGCGCGAAGGAGAAACGATCGTTATATGTATATATGTGCTCGCGCGATTCCGCGAGAGGAACGTTCGTGTCAGCCCGGACAGCACGCAAGTCCAAAAGCGGGATCGCTGAGACGTCTTCTTTTTCGCCTTTGGATTTCAGATTCTTTAATAGAATCTTTACAACTTAGTACCACGGTTTCAGTGATGTTTCCTGGACTTCAAATGAAGGCCCGAAGTCTAGGTGAAACATCTGAAAGACGTCTTTTAAACATCATCGCATATCAAGACGTCTTACGATTCACATGCTTGCTGTTGCGTGCCGTCTGGGAGCGGCGGAAGAGAATTAAAAAAAAAAAAATTATTTACATCCTCCGTGGAACGCGGAAAAGCATCGGGAAGTAAATACTTATCGACTACGAGTGTACGAGTAAATTTTATTATGTAAAGTCTCTCGTTTTTTTTTTTTGTAAAGAAAAAAATGTTTTTGTAGAAGAAAAAAAAATGAATTTGTTCAAAATAAAATAAAATTCGACTCGTCAGAATTCTGCGATAAAGTTTCTCCAGCCGGTTCTTGTTGCAAAAACGGTGCGCGACTTTTGGACCATTATAGATATATATAATATTTAGGCGTGTCGCGTTGCTTGGAAATCGCGTTGAAATTCCTTAAAATTTTTGCACTTGAAATAAATATGTATTCTGATATCTCAGAAAGAGAGAGAGAGAGAGAAGAAAATAAGCGGATATTCTCTGTGTAAAGAATGCAAGCCACGCGACAGACCTTACCTACTGTCTTTCTCGTGCGCGCGCGCGCGCGCATTCTGTCAGACGATCTGTCAAACGCCGCGCACGGATCAGCTGATTGCACAACGCAACCGCGCGGACGAGGGGAGGGGGAACGTTGCGCGGCGCATAACCTAAACTGTCCGTCCAGAATGAGAAAAGATCTCTCATCCGCGTCTGTCCGTCGCTAACTCGATTCATCGCCGAATTTCGCGCGATGAACAGCGGCAGTTAGAAGAAGAGCATGCCTGATTTGTGCAGTTTCGTTTGAAGAGCGCGAATAAAGACGGTACGCATACTCTCCCTTGAATCCCCTTCATCCCACGTTGTTTGCGCCGAGGTTAGTTCGCGACGTCTCTTATTGCGGCAGAAATACACATGAAGTGTTGCGGAGGGGAAAAATTCGCGCACAACGCAATTTTTGTGTAATTTTTTTTTTAGTTTCCATCTTCCGGCTTCGTTCTCGAAGCTGTCAGTGGCGGTGGTCAGCTCCTTCGAGCGACGCGCTTTGAACTCGTTATAATTTTACACACATTTATATGGCTGCACGTGTCTTTTTTTTTTTTTTCACGAGATGCAAGGTCTCAAACGTTTAAGTTTATCGTCCACTATTTTCCACTCAACGACAATGTGATGCAATATCGTGTTTCTCCGTTTCGCGTGCCGACTGATCAGAAGAGTCAAAAACTTCGATTTAGGAGGAGCAGAGGGCAAAGTTATAAATTATCGCGCGAGCGCTTATCGCGACTAAATATAAACATCGCGATATCGCAAGGAGCTTTATTTTCGTAAGGAAGTGTGACACACATCTTTATCTATTATAATTTCCTCTCGATGTATGTACATGCTTTTGGTGTGCAGAAGATGGTAGATATAAAGAGCAATCCTCCCGCCGTCGGGGAGAGCGACTCGCATTACGAGTCGAGGATACGGGCGAACAGCTCGGGCACGGGAACGTCGACACCGTCGTCCTCTTCCGACTACATGACGGGGGAGGCGGACGACAGCTCCGACAGCAAGGGGACCGTACCGTTCAGCTTAAGGTCGGTGGAGACGATGCTCTCGTTGTCCAAGGTATAAAATAACTTGAAATTGCTGGCACTAATGTTTATCGCTATTATATTAATGATTCTTATTAACTCTTATTAAATTCAACATCCTAAATATTAACATCATTCCCATAATTTAAACACAAATTTTTAAAATTTTTTTTAACTCCCACTAAAGCTTATTTATATCTCCACCAACTCAGTAATTTTTAAATAAAAATTAAATTTTACCATATTGTCATACCGCCATAATTAATCCTCTCTCCACCTTATTAAGCCTTCCAAACCCTTGGAATCTTTTCTTTGTAAAAGAAACATTTTTTTTAAACTAACACTCAAGGCCCCCAATACCCCCTGTAATCCCCATCGCCTCCTCCCTCAAAAAAAGTTCCTCAACGTATTGAATAACTCAAGTTATTCATATCTAAATAAATTTTGCCTTAACGTGATGAATTTATATGTAAAAGGATGAGCTATACTTTTGTTAAATCCGAAGAACTAAGAATTTAATCGAATTTATTCAGTTATCGTTACACGGCTCGTTACAATCTCGTTGCTGTCTCATTACAGACGAAGGAATTAATGCAAATTAATTGTTCTATCTAGGACGCGTCTCAGGAGGATCTTCAAGAGATGGTGGGCAAGTGCAAGCTGATGGTGCTGGAGAGCGCCGAGTGCTCGGACGAGCGCAAGTGGCTCGTTCGACGGCTGATCGAGCTGCGTTTGCGCGTGCAGGAGCTGCGCGAGACCTCGGACGAGAATCTCTTCGAGACACGCGTCATCCTCGGTCATCACTTCGTGCCGCAGAAGTACTACATCACCACGTCGAGTCCGGTTTACTGCGACCACTGCAGCGGCGCGATCTGGACGATGCTGCAGTCGTGGTATATGTGCAACGGTAAACGTGTGTTTCTTAACAAGACCGACGTGATTCGATCGTCATGATTAATTTCCAGCTGTTTTCATTGATCGCCGCTACACGACGATTACATAGTACGTTTCCTGCTTCTTCAGATTGCAAATTCAGTTGCCACTGGAAGTGTCTGAACAACGTGTGCCGCGTGTGCGTGCACGTGGTCGCCAGTGAAGCCGGCGGGTACACGCACACGAAGGATATCTGCCCGGAGCAAGGCCTGTCGAAGCAGGGCTACCGTTGCGCGGAATGCAAAGTGCGAATAACATTCAGTAAGTATTTGACTGAGATTAGATTAAGGGACGTCTCGTTAATTGTGAGTAAGCAGATAAAGTGGGCCGTTCGCCCGTTTTGTCACGTTCGTTTTACGTCGGTTCATTACTCCGGTTTGCCGCGATAACCGCGCACTAAAATATTCCATAGAGATAACGATAATGAGTGTATTGTCCTCCTGTGCAAGCTTTCTCGAAGGGATTATCGCTATCTTGCTTCGGCAGTTCCTTTAAGAATTCAGGTATTTAATATATATTATTAACAACCTTATATAATATATTAATAACAATGAAGCGTCACGCAGAGATGTTGTCATCTTAAAAGAAATTTCTTGTGTCTTCAGTTTGTTTTGTTACTTTAATTTCGTCTGTTGTCTAACTGTATATTAAGATATTTATAGGATATTTTGAGATATTTTAAGGAAATTTTTTGCATCTTTCACAAAACTTTTCTGGAATTATGAGATGTCGTCTTGAAAGAAATTTCTTGTATCTTCAGTTCTTTTGTTACTTTAATTTTGTCTGTTGTGTAACTGTGTATTAAGATACTTAGGATATTTTGGGATATTTGAAGGAAATTTTTTGCATCTTTCACAAAACTTTTCTGGAATTATGAAGGATTTCCCATTAGAATAACGATACGTAGATTATTTGTTTGCCACAGATATATCCCTTTTAAACTTCGATATTTACGATTATATGCAATTTGATGATTAAGATAGTAACGTTTTTAGAATCGGCGTGGGTGGAGCCACGACTTTGCGACTACAGCGGTCTATATTACTGTCAGAGATGCCATTGGAACACAGCCATGGTCATTCCCGCGAGAGTGGTCAGAAACTGGGATATGGAGCCGCGTCTGGTGTCCCGCGCCGCAGCACAGCTTCTCATGCTCCTGGAGGACCGCTCCGTATTACCGCTGGAAGAATTGAATCCGAAACTCTTTACCCTTGTTCCGGATTTATCGCTCGTCAAGGTGAGTCATGCCACTGTGTATAGAATTGAGACAGATATTAGATTAATAAAATTAATTTAAAAATCATTGGATGTGCGTAAATACATTGTAAATAAAATGTCTCTTTTGTTATCCAAATGAAACTTTAAGAAATTTGAATTACGTTTTTTTTTTTATTACGATGTATGTAAATTAAACGAGATCAGTTTTTTCTTTATTAAATTTGCAACTTTAATTAATACGCGCATTTGACTGATTGACAATATTATTTAGATGGATACTGAAATGTGTAAAAACTATTGAATTTCAGCGGATGCGAGAGGAGATGCAGATGATGAAGAGGTACTTGGTTCTGTGCGTGGATGCTTGCACGCAAGGATTACCGTGGAAGATTGCGTTGCGCACACACATGATCGAGAATTCAGGTAACTATTCCATCAAGGACCTGATCGATCTTCAGAGCGGCATTCTCCTGGACGAACTTCGCGCCGCGTACGACACGATGCACGCGCACATCACGCAGCAATGCGAGCTCTGCAAAGCAAGGTGAATATTTAAATGGAGAAAGGATACGGTTACCCTCTAGTCACTTACATAACTCGCTTCTTATGTCGAATTCATATGTCAAGGCTCTTCATTATCATTGTTTTTCGAACTTAATACATGTACAATATGTGTAGAATTTCACACATATACATTTTAAATAGTGTATAAATAGTATAGTGATAAATAGTAACTTTTTATACTCTAAATATCCCAAGACTTTAAGAAATTCCAATTAAAATTGAATGACTGTATATTTTTCCGATCTTTATACGATTCAGTTCTTATATCAAATTTTTTATATCGCGACATATTTATAAATCTACGCGGTAATTTTAATTTGAATTATAATTTCTACCGATACCACAGCATATTTATTTTTTTTTAAGAGATCAGATATGTGCATATATAATTAGGATACAAGAATCTTATTTACTACCAAAAATATGTATAAAAAAAATGTATTTCCGTTTTTTTTAGGGGACACTTATGCGAGATTTGCGGCAATGACGAGGTCATATATCCATGGGACGCGAGCTCGGTTATCTGTCAGCAATGCTCGGCGGTGCATCATCGCGTTTGTTGGGCCAAGCGCAATCATTGTTGTCCACGGTGCGCGCGCCTGCAGAAACGTCGCGCCCAACAGGGACACACGGCGCAGGATGGCGAAGACTGTGATACGGACGACGATACCGCGAAGGACTCCTGAACGATAGTGCCGCGTGAATTAACGTGCGGTAAAAAATATTATTCGTACAGATGTGTAACGATTTATACTTTGTACCTGTTACTTTTTTAAGCGAATCGAATCGATGGCAGGTTGTAATTTTTTATATATCACCATATACGTTAAAGGTTGTATATAGCGTTCTAATTACAAATTTATAACTGCATGTTGTGGAATTTTTTTTTGTAATGCACGGTCTAATCGGTGAGATTATACAGGTGATGTATCAGTCACATTTTTTTAAATAACTTTACAAACTTGTCGTGTAATACGCGAATTACCACAGGCATAGATGCTGCGCGCGTGTAGTGCAAACGATATACTCATTCATTAAACGCTGCGGGTTAGCGACTAATATCGATGTTACGTATTTTTACGTTTTAGAAGAATCTTTGTTTTAGAATAATCATTCTACAGGCATGTAATGACTAATGCGTATTCATTTTATGTGGAAATTATAATGAATTAATATACAGATTAGAGAAAAGAGAAAGCGAGCAAATGTGATCTACGCAAAATTTCCCAATCGTCAATGCACATCTCCAGTTATTTTTTATTCGCACTTTTGCCGCTCATCATTCGATGAATGTCAATTGCAAATTTTTATCTCTACTGTCTACGTAGATAATAGTGCGTGATATATATTCCTAGCGGAATTCTCTTTGGGCCCACATTCTCTTAACATTTGTACGAAATGGCAAATTTGGTATCGTTTGCGCCGGGCTGTCCAATCTTGCGCTTCCGCTTCGGTAGAATCAAGTATCGACGGTATTTAAACGAAAGTGTCAAGTTACTGCGGCCAGTCCGCGTCAACAGTCGGTTATAGCCAGGTAAGCGTGTATCGCATTGTGAAATTTCCCGCGGATAGATTAGAACAGATTCTCAGAAAGAATTTTTTGGAATTTAATCTATGGAATCTAGAGTTTCATTACGTTTGTACTATAACTTGAATAAATTTCATCACATTGTCATCTTTTTTATGGTTTTAAAAGCACAGAGTATAATAATGTTTTTTTAACATTTATCATAATTTTTATTCTAAATTAGAATTTGTATTCTTTTTTGTAATTATCTGCAACCTTCAATTTATGTTAATTCATTTAAAAGTAAAATTAAAGAATTAAAAAATAAAAGAAAAATGTATAGGATTTATTAAGAAAGTAAGAAATTAAAAAATGTGTCGGTGTGCTAGGATAAATAAGTTTAGCTTAACGACATTAATCATTTCTTATAAGCGATAAATAACCAGATGCTTGTACTGTGTATAAAAAAAGTATATATTATTTTTCCGCTTTGTAGAGTTAGATTTGTATCAAACAATACATATCGAACTAACGCCATAGACTCGATATAAATTGTTAAAGCATCTTAATAACTAATTGTATCTTTGTATTTTTAGAGAAAAATTTTTTATTAATTGAAAAACCATTAGCGTAAGAGTTTTCTTTTAATTATTTTTTATGTCACAGAATATTTCCATTTGCAATTATGCACAATGGTCAATCGTCTCTGTTCTAGTGTCTGAAAACTAAAATCGCTCTGGCAGCTATAAGCTGTTTCTTTCATTCTTGAATTCATCTTTCTCATCTCGAATTTTTTTATCCACGATTAATTAAGGCATATGCGTATGTTAATAGGATCCTATCCGTCTTACCTAGCCGTCATTTATTCCGAGTGAATAGACAACACGATGTCACGCGTATTTGTTCTCTTCGTGCTTTTCATCGTCAGCATTGCTGTTCAATTCGGCGATTGCCAAAACAACCGACCGGAATGTGAAGATGTGAATATCAAACCTGGTTCCGATCCAGCCCGTCTATCGTATCTCGAAGTATTTTTGAAGGGAGTATCAGCGCCCTCAGATTGGCTGAACAAACTCCTCGGAAGGAACAAGAAAAATTCGTTTGAAGGAGGATCCTACAGCACCGTTTTAGATAAATACGAAAAAGAGGTTCACGCGGTCTTTCCAGGTAATTCGATCATTTGCAGTTGAGGAACTTACAAAAATAATATTATAAATGACAAAAGTGAATATCCTGCAAAAAATATTTCTTTCCATTTAAAAGTAGAGAGGTAGTTTTATTAGACGTTTACAGAATATTCCTGTATACAATGTACAGGACATTTTAAATAATTCGGTATTACAAGATTTGCTTTTAGTATTTTGTGTCAGTACTTTTTTATTAATATTTTAATACTGAGTGTTTTTATACACTGTTCAAAAAAATTATGACAGAAAAATTTTGAGCAAAAAATGGTCAACTTTAGTTAACGATAACTCCGCG